TTGGCGGGTCTGAATGAAGGATGAATGACATTTATTTAAAATGCTAAACTCATCAAACCCTAAAAATTAGTGTCGAGGTCTAACGGTATTCACCTCAGGTCAAAAGGAATCCCTCTTGAAAGTGAATAATTAAGTTTTAGTTCATTTTCAAATTTATTTAAAAATTCCCATGAGGTGTGATGAAACACAACTTCCCCAGTTGTAATCAAAAATAACTCAATGTAACGCACCGTTGGAAAGTGCTAAAATGCAAAAAAATGGGATGTCAGTAGTGCGGAATTTGCACAGGGGGGCAGAATGTGGGGGGTGGCAAACAAAACCAACCTTGCACCTTCAGCTCATAAGATATGGAGTCCTCCCCGTGACGGCAAACGTATCGACCTGAGTGTCTCGTTTCGACGGATTCAATAATCAGCGTTCCATTGTCCAACTGTTGCACGTCACTAAAAAATCAAAAAATACGACACCGTCTGCTATACCAGGGCAGCATTGGGGTAGAATTAACAAGGTTGCACCCACTCGACCATCCCAAATGTCCATTCAACTGAAGGGTTTCCAGCTACCAAACAATCCATCAATACTCGCATCCTCTCTTGTGCTACGATTGTCCCACCAATAGAAATAATCGATGCAGCAGCTAAAATGGATAAAACCAAAAAATTTGTTATTTCAACTACTTAAATTCGCATTTCAGTAGTATGACGTGCAACTTACGATGCGAAGTCGGAGCCACCGATGATACATAAGCCTTCCTTCCATCAAACAAATTTTTCGCCATTACCGAGAAGTTGTACAAATACTGCGGCCTCAGATCTATTGTGAATAACAGTGACTCTACATATCATCGGTAGAGGTAGGCATCGAGGGCAAACAGATTTAAAGAAGCGAAGGTGTGAGGGCAATGCAATTTATGCTCTACAACGAGCCAAAAAGCTAATGTATAGTACTTTACTCACCGCAAAACAAATAGTAGTTGTAGGGTTTGCTGAAATCGGGTTTAATGCAACGGGGACCAGCTGCAACGCCAGAGCCTACGGCAGAGGTGGCAGCAGTGGCAACAGACGTTCCGGTGGATCGGTAAAGACTGTCTTGTCTGTAAGCAACTAGGCAGTAGAGACGTGTCACACCCTGTGGACGACTGGGATGGGACCAGGAAACCATGACGCACGTTTCATTCACTGGCAACGCTTTCACATTCTCTGTGGACACAGAAACAACTGTCACGGTACTACTTAAATGGTTTAAGTAAGGCAGGTGGATATAGAGACCCACCTGGTGCTTCCGGTGGTGCCTCTGTAGTGGAGCAAATTTTTTTTGGAGAAAGGGGTCCACGACCTTTACGATTGCTTGCTGCGACTTGGATTTCATAACGGGTGTTTGCCAGAAGGCCAGCTAGAGTCACGGTGGTCTGACCTTTGACAACTTGGATGACTGAATTTGTCTCATCTGAAGTTCAAAGAGTGTTTAGATTGATTTATAAAGGAAACAGAGGAAAGTTATTCAAAGAATTCCAGCCTAGGCCCAGAATCACTAGCCGAACTATACAAGGGTAGATTGGAGGCACGGTTTGAAGTCTTTAGACGGAGGCAGACAAACAGGACATATGTAGATGAACATACAAGTCTTAAGTTCGTGATCCTGACTTCTAGGAGTTGAAGAGGTTCTGGTCACTCGAGAGGTGGTTGGAAGAGTAATTCTAGAGCCTATAGTTACTTTTCGTCGAAGTTCCATGAGTGGTAGATAGATCGTACCATAGATACTACTGCAGTAGTACTACGCGCCGAAGTACGTGATAAGTTTGGCCTTTTACTGATGGTCAGCGCACACGTCGTGGGCCAGTCCGAACAACCCTAATCAAGGGGGCAGGCAAGAGCGGTGATGTGAGATCCGTGGATATCTACAGAGAGCATATAGTACAATACGGCTATGGGAGGCTCAGTCATTGGATGACATTTCTCGAAGGCAGTCGCATGTCTGTAAGTCAGCCATGACCGCAGCTGTGTGAATTCTCGTCGTGAAACTGTATGCGAGACAAGTCCTGCTGTGATAACACCGAACACAACCACTCACAGACATAGATATTTACTAGTCCGAAAAGTAAGCTCCAACATAGGTGCCAAGAAAATGCTCGATGAGGTGGGAGAGGACTACCGTTGGGGTATTGGTTAAAGTCTAGTGTCAATGGGACAGGCTGTGTCCGTTGTTTTGTCACCTCAAAGGTCTCACATCTACTTGAACGCTCTCACGGATAGGGAGATGGTCATTCTTACATGATGATGATAACCAAGAAGCTCTAACCTCCAAAGCTATTGGCAATGTAGTAATTGACGAGGTACTCCGTCAAAATCCCATTCACAGTTTCAAAGTTCGGTGGATCCCAGGATACCGTAATGCTGTGTTGTTGTGTGGAGCACGTAACGTTTGTTGGCGATGCTTGAGGCACTGCAGAGGGAAAAGGAGTAAGCAAATTAAATTGCATGCAGTCTTTCTATGGAAAAAAGATAAACTGATTCGTAGTCTTTAACTCCAGGGGTCTTTTTGATGGAGTATCGTCAGAATGCCACAAAACAGTCTGTTTAGCGGAGGAGAGGTGTGACATGGAGCATTCCCCCCTTAGAATCCACACAAGGTACATCATCTGTGGCACTATAGACCTTCCATTCGACCATACCACCCCACATTCCATCGATGAAGCTCATATTTTGAAGAAAGTGCTCCGGAGGGCACAAAACCACTCACACCCTCCCGTTCATCCAGAGGCAGTGAAGTGGGAATGACGGATGGATCAGGTCAACAGTCAGATAACTTACAATCCTCCAGGGTTCGTGCCAAGACATAGGCAGGAGGCGATTGACCCTTGCTGTTGATAGCGATGATGCGAATGGCGTAGGCGGTGAATTTTGGCAGACCAGTCAACTCCGTATCTTGTTGGCGATGCATCAGAACGCAGTGAATTTGACTAAATCCACTCGAGACACTGTAAATGGAGGCGATAATGCCTAACTGGTCTATGCAGCATGAAAAAGGTCAAATTAAATGTTAGCACATTTATGAATGAGGGTAGATTGACAATTCGATGCACTCAGTAGGTGGCTATTGGAACTTGGGTACATGGTTGGGTAAGTGAAACACCAAAATGTTCATTTAATTTTCTCCAACAAACCTTGAATCCTCTGTAATGAGATCCCTTGGCCATGGCAGCCGTGCCAGGTCGCTCGGACTGCTCCCCACGAGACTCTCATTCACCCTCTGATGGCAAACGGAGTACCTATCCACGTTTCCGTTGCGCAGCTCCGGTTTCGGCTTCTGCCATGACACATAAATCGTGTCCGAGGCCGTTCCACTCGCATTCAGGTGTTGCACTGGACCCTCCGGTTCTAGCAGACGTAATAATAGGTTGGATGTAGAGGGAAATGTACTGGCAATGTAGCTATGGAACAAGAGGTGATTGAATTGTAAGATGCATTGCTATGCATGCTACGAGGCTGGAAGAGACAAATTAATCCAGAAACAAAGAGGGCAGGTAGGTGGTGAAAGCAAATGAATCTGAGATGGTTTGACAACTCAAAATGTACTACATGGACGAGACAACAAATGCCTTTTCAGTTGGGAAAAACGTACTGGCTTCTTGTGTTGTGAGAACAAGAGAGTTCTCCAGACTGTATCCAACCTCGTTCTCTGCTTTAATAGCGATGTTGTACTTCGTGTACGGCCGCAAACCCGTCAGTGTCGCCTGACGTTCGTGAGGTCGCACCTCGATGACGTTGTTTGGTTTCTGTCGAGGAGGCACAAAGCAAATGACGTGAGATTAGACCTAGAGGCAGCCTTGTCTTCAACAACAAGTTAGTCAAATCGCCAGAACGGCGTTTCATTCAATGGAGACTATTTAAAAGTCCACTCAAAGTAGTAAGTTGTAATGTCTGCAGATTGAAAAGATCCGAAGGGAAATGAAAACATGCAAAACTTTCGCCTCCAAACAGTTACACCGATCAGTAAATGAATAAGGCGAGTCGTGCACCTTTTAGTGAAGCATAAAGCAAACTCAGCTCGCTTGCGGCAGCATTATGAACATTTAGGATCTTTGGGAGCCGTGAAGGAAACAACAACTATAAGTGGGTGCATTGTAACCCCTTCGAAGGGGATTTGGAAGATATTGACAGCACTTTAACAGCCCAAAGGTTGAAGCTCATACAGATCCGGGGCCACCATGCTAATGCGGAGAGGATGTTCACAGTTAACCGGTGGGTGAATGCAGTCAAGCAGAAAAGAAAAAGAGGACCAGGAAATGGTATGACTTCGGCTGTAGAAGAACCTACACTCTGTCCATAACTCGGCTCTCCGACCGCCGAGTCTGCTTGATAGTACCTGATCCAGTAACGTCGAATCGCCTTATTTCCATCATGAGCCGGTGGAAGCCATGAGAAGGAGACACTGGTTGCTGTCGTCTGCGAACTGTTCTGCACGAAGGTTACCGGATCAGGAATGGCTGGAGGGATAAAAGGAAGTCTGAGTGAGATCATACATCCTTAGCCACCATGCCCATTGACGAGGTCCATTTTCAGT